TTTGTCTACAAACTATTGAACGATCTTTCTCTTGGCTTTTTTTTTTTTTAATTCACTTTCTTATATAAATTAACTACAGAACTCTCATTATAGGTTTTGCCTACTGTTATATTTAAACAAGGAATCTAAATTCTTGAATCTAAAAGCCTAACCGTATAGAGAAGACCAGATGTACACTTTGAACAACCAGTCACATTTGGAGTATCAGGGAAATATGTTACCAGATAAACTAGAATCTCTAAGATGATATAGAGAATTACGTTTGATGTGACATGTCCAACATTAAGTTAAATTCCTTTCATAAGCTACCTATTGTGGACTATTAATTACCAGACTATCTTGCTATATATTATCAGAAAAGAAACACAGGGAAAAGATGGAAAGAGATAAAGGTTTTATAATGACAGAGGAGAAAAGTCTCACATCATGTTTGGGAAAGGTCTCCACATCTAGGATGTTGTCTGCTTCTGAAGAGAAACCTCCCTGATCAGTTTTACCTTGATGCCTCAAATGATTACGCAGTCCCAAGGGTCCTTTTGAGCTTAGAGATATGAATCTGAAACTTGGGGTCTCGAAGTCCTGCTGCAGTGTTAGTAGGTTGAAAAACTTGGTACGGTCCCTCCTAATGGGGTTTGAGGGCAGTCTTTCTCTGTTGTCGTTTCCAAAAAATCCAATCTCTGGGTTCTAAATCACAAAAGGTCTGGTTATTATCCATTAGTAGATCACTGATGGACTTTGTTTACCTAGCATAATGCATTAAAGCCTTATAATATTGTGTCATGTCAGAGTTTATGAAAGCAGGAGCTATAGGAAATTTTATTATTAGGGGTATGAGCCTTTCTGAAACTACTAGGTCTTCAGAAAGTCATGAAGTATTTTTTTTCTATGCAAAAATGTATCATGACTTTTCTGATGACCCAGTATTTCTTAAGGCGTTAATCCGTGTTTTCCAGTTGGGGTAAATCGGATTGCCATCAAGGCCAATGGTGATATCCTAGACCAAGGTTATCAAGTTGATTCAGTTAGCTTCGTTCCATGCCATTGTGTTTTTTAACTGTTTTATAACTTGTCCAGTGAAACAAGTACCTCTATTTCTGGATATTTCTTTAGGAATGCCCTGTAAACGAAACACTCTTGTCACAGCATTGGCTTTTCAATGCAGAAAAGCTTCAATCCACCAGAAAACGTACAGCCTACTACTACAGAAACACATTGATTTCCTATTAAAGGTGCAAATTGAGTAAAATACATATGTAAATGTTCGAAATGATCCATCAAAAGGTGGCAATAAATCACCTGAAGTTTTTAGTGAAATCCCAGGGTTGTAGGTTTGACAAATGAAACACTGGTTATAAACCATGTTAGCAATTTCAGAAGAGCGATCACACTGATATTGTCTCATAGTTTGGATCATTTCATCTATTTCATGATGAGTCACCGGGTGCAGAGCTTTTAATAATAGAAGCTGGAAGGACTAAGCAGTTGTCTAGGCCCTTCACAGTCCACATTTAACATTAAAGTTATATTCTTTTAAATACCAGTTTTATTTCTCCCATTCAGGTACATAGTACTGCTTATTAGATTATCATAGGTAATTTAACTTGGATCACTCTTATGGGTTCACTGAAACTGCATACCTTAATGATTTCAGTACTAGCTGATTTCTCACTTTCCCTCTCTCTCTTTCTTTCTTTTCAGAGGATTTTGCTATAGAGCACATGCGCTTGCCAGAAAGACAGAGAAAAACAGAGAGACAGAAAGCGAGAAATCACCCCCAAGAGGAATGGCCACACTGCAATCCCTTCTCCTCCATTCTCCTTTCAGGTTCTTGGGCACGCACGCACACGCGCCTGGCATGAGTTTAAGCTGCAGGGTCTGGGATTAGAACAGTGGTCGACTACATGAGAGTCCAGCGACATAACCATTATGCTATCCGCTGGTCCCTCTCTCTTCAGTGAGCACTGTGGTAAAAACCTTAAAAAAAAAAAATCTATGATAGACACATGTGTTCACATGAGAGAGAAAAAAGGAGGGAGAATCAGCTTTCATAGGGCTTGGTCACACTACAATCCCCTGCCTCCAGTCCCCTAGCCTGCCAGGATCCTGGGCACATCTGAAAGCATCTGGCATGTTTCCAGGCTGACTAGGTTGGGAGTTTGGACCTCAGTTGCCATGTGGTTTATCAGGTCAATGGTGTGGTATGCTACCAATTGCACCACAGAGGCTGGACCCTCTCTTCACTCATTTAACTAGAGCGAAAAAAAAAAAAACAAACAAACAAAAAAAAACTTCAAAGGCAAACACAGTTACATAGATCCTACTTCTTGCTATTGAACTGCTGTTAAAAGAATCTTTAGGCAAATATAATTTTTAAGTTAATGTAGTGCCTTGTAAAGGATAAAGCATACAAGCTCTAGCAGAAACTTCCAAAACGAATAAATACAAACATTCTCATCTCTTTTTTCTTTTTTGGAGAGGTTTTTGCTATAGGGCACATACACCCGCCAGAAAGACAGAGAGAGACAGAGAGACAGAAAGCGAGAAATTACCCCCTGGGTAGATGGCCACGACACAACCCCTACTCCTCCATTTTCCTCTCAGGATCTTGGCACTCACACACATGCGCCCGGCATGAGTTTAAGCCACCGGATCTGGGACTTGAACTGCAGTTGACTACATGGGAGTTCAGCAACATAGCCATTATGCCAACTGCTGATCCCCCCAAATCTTCATTTCTAATCTGAGCCTTCATTGGGCTAAAGTCTGCCTTTCACTGTAGTTAGGTTTAACATTTAAGTTAGAAAGGTTTGGAGTAAGAAACTTCTGGGTGTTGGGACCACCAGATGGTATGGTCGTTAAAGTGTTGGTTCAAGCTTACCTTGGTTCAAGTCCTGGACCTGGCTGCTTGAAAATCACTCAGGGCCCATGTGCATGCCCAAAATCCCAGGAGAATGGAGGAGAATGGATTATGGCATGGCTGTCCTTCCCAGGGGGTGATTTCTGACTTCCTTTCTCACTGTCTGTGTCTTTCTCTGGCAAGTGCACACACTCAATGACAAAAACAATTTAAAAAAGAAAGAAATAGAGAAAGGGAAGAAGAAAGAAAGAAGAGGAGGAAAGAAAGAAGCTTCTTAAAATATCTTTTAAGAAGTTAAATTTACAGATTAGCCTTGTAGCCTTGTGGTTAAGTTCACTGAATCCCACGTGGCCAACTACACTTGGAATGCTGGCCTTGTCAGCTTGCAGAGCACACCATGCATGTGTGGGAGTGCCCCAAATCTTGACTTCGGCATCACTAGAAACTATTATCATCGTGAGTACTATTGCTAGGTATATTTTCTGCCTCTCGTTATTCTTACTGTTAGTGCTTAAGAAGCATTTGTGTTTTATCTTTGGCCCCAGCAAGGACCGGACCCAGCAAAGACCAGACCCAGCAAAGACCGTTAAGGAAACCGTTCTGCTTTACAATGAGCCTGGGAGAAGGGAAAGCAGGGTGAGAATGGACAAGACAGCAACCGGTAAAGAAAGGAGGGGAAGGAAAGATGACTTCATGACTAAGTTGCTGCAGCTTCTCCTCTCAGCTAGCAACCACACATGCTTCTCCCCTCCCTTCTACAAACCGGAGCCCACCACCTTATCTTGATGTCTTTTCTTTTCCCTTATTCAGAGTCGCCAGATATATATCCCTTTTGTCCCATCTCCATTTACTCTTTTTTTCTGTTTGGGAGCCCAAACCTGCCTCTGCTTGTGAAGAGATGCCCCTGAGCAGCACTGATAAGGCACAGTAAGACCTCCAGTCTGAATAGAAAGAGAAGAACCTAAACCAGTGCACCTCCTCACTCTCGAAAATTTCAGAAGACCTCTCAAAGTCTTCCCTTAGGTTAGATGCTTCTAATTAAATCTACTCCTCAAAGACTGAAAGTCAAGACTAAAAAAATTTTGCTTATTCAATTTTCTAATTATTACAATTATAAAAATTACCACTTTTTACTATTTTCACATAGACTATATGGTGTAAATTTATAAGTTAAGTAGGCCTTTATCATGTGACTGTCAAAATTATTTTGATGTGAAATGTATTCTGAACCCCAGATGGATTACAAATAAAATTTTGAAATGTAACATCTAAGTTCAATTCTGCTTTCATGCTATTGGACTTACTGAGAAATTAATGAGAAACAAAAAGAGCAATGCAGTATACTTTAAAACTTTCAATACATGGGGCTGGCAAGTAGCATGGTGGTTAAGGTGATGGACTCCCACATGGCTGACCATGGTTCAAATCCCGGACCTTGGCTTGCTTTCTCACCTTGCCTTTCTCTCTCTCTCTCTCTCTCTAGTGAATGCAGAGTAAATTAAAATGTAATAATAATTGTAAATAAAATACAATAAAAAATTCTTTCTTTTAGAGGTTTTTGCTATAGAGCACATGTGCTCACCAGAAAGACAAAGAGAGACAGAAAGACAGAAAGCAAGAAATCACGCCTCATGGGGATGGCCATGCTGCAATCCCTTCTCCTCCATTCTCCTCTTGGGATCTTGGGCATGCATGCACACGCGCCCAGTGTGAGTTTAAGCCACCGGGTACGGGACCTGAACTGCGCTCAACTACATGGGAGTCCAGCAACGTAGCCATTATGCCAACTGCTGGTCCCACAATAAATAATTCTTTAAAAATGTTCAATACATAGTAGGGTTTGCTACCAACTTATATAATTTGTTAAGGATAAGTTGTTCTTTCAAATTATTTGACAATTCAAAAAATAGTTAAAGTTATACTTGTTAAAACCATGAGGTAGTAATGAAGTTCTAACACCTACTAGTTAAACAAGATATTCGAAAGTTTACAGATCTTTTTTAATTGTATGAATTGCTAATATAATGCTATTTTTCCAAGATTACCCAAAATACTGACACCTGATTAAATTCACATTCATTAAGTTGACTCTACATTTGTCTTATTTGACATTCAATTATAGAGCAAGTTTATTAATGTTGTTACTTGACTTTGAATAGTACATTTCCAGTAGGTCTTTGGCATTCTTGGTCCCAAATCAGACTTTACTGTAGGAAATCTAATGATTGAGCAATCTAACTGAGATACTAGAAAGTCATGAACAGTTCTTCTTGTTGATAATTTTTTTCCTGATGTTGTCCTATTACTTACTGAAAATTATGATTGCTCTTGAACAAACCACTGTCGATTTGTAATCTCAGTGTCTATGTCTTGCTCTCTTATACAGTCCTTTAGAACGTTACTATATGAATAAGAATTTCTTCTGTCGTCTTAGAACTTGGCTTTTTGCTTCTCCTTACCCAGTCATTGCTATGTAAGTGCTATTTTACAAGGCATTTTGTTTTCACTTGAGCTTAACAAGTCATCCAATGGTGTTACAATATTTAATTTATGTACTTCAAGCATATTTTTAAGAGGCTTTGAGGAACGTTTGACAGGTGGGGCACTGAATTTGTGTATGTCCATTGGTTTTATTGCAGAAAACAGTACTTCAAATTTGCCCGTTTTAGCACTCATTTCTTGAGTAACAGTTTTGCCAAAGTCACCCACAATTTTTTTTGTTAGGCAGGAAAAGGTCTGTGGGAGTTTACAGAGTGTATTCCAAGGTATGTTTTTCAATGTCTGATTATTAGCTTTCTTCTTTAGTTTATCTTCTACTATTCTGTTGCCTACATCCATAGATAGGGTTCGTATGCCTTTTTTCCATATTGTAGGCATAGTTTTTTTGGGTTTAGAAGGAGTAATCAATTGACCACTAATTAAAGATTTGAGAATTTCACAATTTCTTTCTAAAACAAAATTTGTTCTTTTACATGGGTTAATGTTTTCATTTTTCAAAGGATGGGAAGAATGCATGTTTTTTGTCAAAAGTAACATTTGTACATGTCTTGTGTCATGGAAAATAATGGGATTTGTGTCATTTTGTTCCTGTAGATTAAAGAAAATAGTATTTAGTCATAACTCTGTTGAGACAAGAACATTATATAAACTTTTAAACATGAAAATAAAATTGTAAAGTATTATAAAAATTGCTACATATAAATATTTAATATAATCAGTAATAGTATTGATATATACACAAAAAAAGATATACTTGTAACATGCTTTCCTCTTTTCTAAATATTCTATAAAGGTGTTAGGGATAAAATCTGAACTTTGTCTTTCTTAAATCCTTCATGTAGGGCCGGCAGGTGGTGTGGTGGTCAAAAGAGCTGGACTCCTACATGGCCGACTGCAGCGTAAGTCCTGGACCTGGTGGCTTGCTTTTTCACTTTCCTTTTTCCTCTTTCTCTGTCTCTGTCTCTTTGATCAAACTGAAAATAATAATAATAGCAATAAATAAAGTTAAATAAAATAATTAACAAATAAATAATCTTCTGTGAAATAAAGTAGTGTTTGAAGAAATAAATACATTTCTTAAATGTTTGAAGTACTGCTAATGGAAAACAAGAGAGTTGATAGAATAGAGCATTATCTTTAAATTTTTTAGGTTTCCATGTTCCAGAAATTAAAAAGCATGCTAAAAATGGATTAGGTTAAAGATGATAAAAGACTGAACTGATTATAAGCCAAAATTATAAAGTCTAGATATTCTCATATAATTCAAAAAAGTTAAAATGATCTCTATAGCTGTTATTATTGAACTCCAACACTTAGCACAATACCCAGTACATTAAAAAAAGCTCAATATATATTACTGGAATAAACCAAAGCAATAGATTGACTTAGAAATACACCATTTTATCACAGTAATAGCAAAATCTCTTTGTATAAACTCCTCTAAATTTTTTTCTTACATTTCTCTTATTAGGGCAAAATGATTACCACTAAAGAAAATGGTCAGATGTGCATATTAGTATTTAGTTTGCAAAATTTAAGCCCATAATTTACTTTTCCTTTAAAAATATTATTTATGAAAAAAGAAATTAGAGCCATTGTACATTAGTGTACTTAGAGTGAAATGTACATTAATGCCTATAACCACTGTGAAGAGGACAAAAGATCCAGTTTGCAATCCACTAGTGATACCAATATTATTTATTTGGCCACCATAATGGAAATTTGTCATAGTTTTGGTCTGTCCTAAACGTGAGAGAATTTTCTATTTTACAAATCTATGTACCCTTTCACAGAAGCATAAGCTTGTCTTCGGCAGCCTCCCTTGAGGTCAGGAGACAAGCGTATGTCCTCAGCTCTAGTGAGAGTGGTGGAAGCTATATCTAGCTTTGAACAGCAGCAGTGGCAAAGGGTTTCCAAGAAGTGTCTACTGCCCAGCAGCACGGTTGTAAACCATCATCTGTGACGGTAGCACAGACCCCAGTGGAATAGCATGAAACCGGATTGTCTCCCTGGCCCTTCATAAAGCTTAAGCTACCACATAGCCTTTAATAAATATAATTTCTGTATGAAATAGCTAAAACAAATTGTTAGCTAAATGAAGACTTGACCCAGTCATTTTTTAAATGCCATTTTTATTTCATATTTCTATTATATTCAAACAAATTTGATAAAACCTTCGTTAAAAAGAAAAAACCCACAATTATTACCTGATGAAAAGGAATCTACAGTTTAGGGGTGACTGCTTTAAAAAGAGCATTAAGAGACCAGCAGTTAGCCTAACGGCTATGTCGCTAGATTCCCATGTAGTCGACTGCGGTTCACGTCCCGGACCTGGTGGCTTAAACTCACGCCAGGTGTGTGTGCGTGTGTGCCCAGGATCCTGAGAGGAAAATGAAGGAGAAGGGGTTGTAGTGTGGCCATCCCCCCTGGGGGGTGATTTCTCGCTTTCTGTCTCTCTGTCTTTCTCTGTCTTTCTGGTGAGGACACGCGCCCTATAGCAAAAACCTCTCCAAAAAAAAAAAAAAAAAGAGCATTAAGAACTTACATGCTAAACTCTCCAAAAAAATAATTAAAAAAAGAGAGCTTACATACTATTATCATATTGGAATATGAAATCCAAAGATACGAATTTATCAAGGATTCTAGTTACTATAATATACGAATGATTTCCCACAAATAGTATTAATATACATATTTACCGAGTAAAAGGAGATATTACCATGTGAGAAGATACTGTTTTTGTTGGACTAACATTGATTATCTTGGCATTTGGGTTTTTCAATTCATCTTCAAAGCACAAGGGGAGAAGGGTTTTCTTTCTTTCTGAACAGCGCACACTTGATTGATCATTTCTGGTGGATTTATTTTCTTGTGTACTAAAATCCTTCATCTGTGAATGTCTGAAAATAAACACAAGTCCATGGAAATGTTTATAGAGCTGATTTCTGCTTGTTTGTTCTTCTCTGCCTTCCCTTATCCCTAAAAGTCACCCTCGACATTTCCCCAATCCTCTCTTGTAGACTTTCAACCTGACCAGATCATCTCTTTCTGCCAAGTTTGTGGGAGAACACAGCAAAAGCAGAGGGGGCGGCAAGATATGTATCTTGATCTTTGTTTCTCTTTTGCTTTGCTTTTAAAGACAGGGTCTTGCCCAGTTGTGATCCTCCTGCCTCAGCCTCCTACCTGGCACCACAGTCGCATCGCCACTCCCAATCCTTTGTTAGACAGTCTAGCCATGTCACCCAGTCTGACCCCAAGCCTGTGATCCTCCTGCCCAGCCTCTCTGAGTCACTGGGATTATAGGCATACCCCAGGGTACTGACCCTTCTTTGTCTTCTGAGTGGAGAGGAAAGGTGTATTATGCAGGTTAAGAAGAATATCAAAGGTAGAGATATATTAGTCACATCCTTTGTTAAAATCTGGGAGAAACTTGACAGGGCAACTTCATATCAACATAATGTAGCTCCAGCTTTTTTTTTTTTTTTTTTTTTTGAGAGGTTTTTGCTATAGGGCGCGTGCACTCGCCAGACAGAGAGAGAGAAAGAGAGAAAGCGAGAAATCACCCCCCAGGGGGGATGGCCACGCTGCAATCCCTTCTCCTCCAACTCCAGCTTTATTGAGAGGATAGAATAGTGTGGTCAGAAGGAAAGAAGATATAGTTTCCATTCCAGATCTCCCTTGGTTCCCATGGGATGTGATTTACCATTTGCCATTACAACAAAGGTTTGACATGAGTGAGATACGGATAGCCTTGTCTAGGGACAGATGAACATGACAGACTCAGAGAGTCCTGCCACACCAATGAGAGTTTCGAGTGGACTGTATCCAAGTTCAGAGAGAACAGACCCTGTGTTCCTGAGCCACAGATGTCAGTAGCCACAGAACATGTAGGAGTGGGACCTGTGGTAACCAGTCCTAGCGGCAATACAAAGGTGCCTAACCATGATCTTTTTCATCAATGTCACAAAGCTCGAGGAACAGCTCACTCATATATTCAGATGCCATCTTGGAGAGAAACTGAGGACTGAGTTAAACTAAACAAGGCTAATCATTATTGCTGAAAGTTGAAAACACTAGGGACCAGCAGTTAGCGTAATGGCTATGTCGCTGGACTCCCACGTAGTCGACCACGGTTTGAGTCCCAGACCCGGTGGCTTAAACTCACGCTGGGCACATGTGTGTGCGTTCCCAAAATCCCAAGAAGAGAATGGACGAGAAGGGATTGTGGCATAACCATCCCCCCTGGGGGGTGATTTCTCGCTTTCTATCTCTCTGTCTCTGTCTTTCTGGCAAGCACACACGCCCTATAGCAAAAAACCTCTCCCCCCCCAAAAAAAGAGAAAATTTGAAAAAACTGGATTAATTTTTTTTTCTCTATTACACAGAAGTCCAGGGATTCATGACAGAGATCAAAACCTTATACAAAGATACTTACATACTTATACAGTATGAGACTTACACAAAAAATAAAGAAGCTACTTTTTTCACATTCATATTGTAGTTTAATTAAGTTTGTGTCTTTACTACAAAGACATAATTGTATTCTCCATATTAATTTTTCCATGTATTTATCTTCATTTGATTTTGCTTGAGTTCTGGATGTGATGCCTACCAGCTAAGCACTCTTAGACCATTCATTGGATTTCACTGTAGAACTAAATGCTAAAAATAAGTCAGAATAGGGACCAGCAGATAGCATAATAGTTATGTCACTGGACTCCCACGTAGATGACCAAGATTCGTCTCAGACCTGATGGCTTCAAACTCATGCCAAGTGCGTGTGGTTGTGCGTGCATGCCCAAAATCCCAAGAAGAGAATGGAAGAGATTACTGCATGACCACCCACCCTGGGGGGTGATTTCTTGTTTTCTATCTCTCTGTGTCTCCAGTAAACACACGTGCCCTCTAGTGAAAATCTCTCTAAAAAGTAAATAAATAAATAAGCCAGAATAGGGGACAGCAGGTGGTACGGTGGTTATGACTCTGGAATCCCACACAGTCGACTGTGGTTTGAGTCCCAGACTTGGCAGCTTGAAATTTGTGCTGAGAACATGTGCATGCCCTGTCGGCATCTGCCCCAGGACTTGGGTCTGAATCATGATCAGAGGGCTGCTGGTGAGGAAGAGAAAGAGGACAAGAAAGAGCAAGCCCTCCATCTCGAGAGGACTGGGGAATTGGAAAGAATGAGACAAAGAGAAAAGCAGAAGTAGAAACAGGTAACCTGAGCCTAGGGAGCCCAAGCAACTTGTGTCACATTTGAGCAACTGCTTGAGTCAGCCAGACAAACTGGGCCTCTTTATTTATAATACAAGGAGACACTACACATGTGTATTTTACCGATACTTCATAGATTCGTTGCTAGGTTACAGACAATAAGAAGCCGTTAACAAATCTATAAGGGCTTAGTCTACTGAACAAGGTGTATCCCTTGGTGATAATCCCATTAAGAGAAAATCCCATTATCTTCTTTTCTAATGAGAGAAACCCAGCTGTGGGTGTGGAGAAGAAGGCTAAAGAACTTCTCCTTAAGGAGTGCACCACCACACCCAGAGAAGGCTAAAGAAACTTCCAGATGCAGAGCAGGGATTGGACCTTGCTAATTGGGATGAAGATGTCTATTGACTTCCATCAGATGTGTCTGTTGGAATGCCCCTAGCAATTTCCACCCTTTTTTGCTCTGTCTGCAGCGAGGGGTCAAGGAGAGGACAAGTTACAAGGTTCTGCCAAAGCTCAAAAGGACAAGTAATGTTTGTTCAGAACATGTCCCACACCTCAGTCTCTCTCTAAATGGGTCCCCACGATGTCCAAAATCCAAAATGAAGGTGAAGGGATTGTGGTGTAGCCATTCCCCTGGGGGAGTGGGAGGGTGCGGTGATTTCTCACTTTCCCTCTTACTGACTCTGTCTCTCTCTACAGTGAGCACACATGTCTGAATGACAATAATCTAAAAAAAAAAAAAAAAAAA